TGGGAGGTCAGGGAACAGGAGGGGTGCTTTGCCTTGCTGTCCTGAGGCAGGAGTGGAGGATTCAAGGCTAGGACAGACTGATCATCTGTTTCACTAGTACATGAGGAAACTGAGGCTCAGAGAGGAGAGAACCTGTCCCAGTTACAGAGTAAGTCATAGGACGGGTTGGACTGGCACTTCTAGAGATAGTTAAGACTCTGATGTGGTGTCTTCATCAAGGCTCAGTTTACTTTTCTGAAAAATGGTGCTAACGCCTACCAGACAAGATTGTGCTAACAAGTGAGATTGTACTCACAATGTAATCATCCTGGTGCTTGGCTCATAGCATGCACTTGAAAAGTACATGAAAAGGAACAGTGAGGATAATTATTTCTTCTGTTGTCCTTGAGCTCAAGGCAGAGAGGCGAGACCCTATGTGAGAAACATTCTGGCCCCAGAAAGGTCAGGTCTGGATGACCCCGAGACCAGTCTCAGGACAGATCCCCAAGTTTGGGACTCACTAAATACAGGACTGGGCAGCCTGAATGAGGTCACAGGCAGCAAATGTGAAGCAAATGGCTCCAGTTACACACACCAGAGAGCCTTGCAAATTATCGTAATGACTTGGCTATAAAGTGGCACCACATATAAGGTGACTCCCCACAAGAATTTTAATTCACGCTGAGACCTGCCAAGTCTCCGTGAGCGTAGACAAGGATGCATTCAGCATCTCGAGCCCAGATGCGTCTACTTGCAGCCTCAGAAGTAGCCAGCAGCAGGGTCCAGGAAGGCCTGCATGACGACTGCCTTTTGTTCACCAACAGCAGACTTTGAGTGCCTACCAGGTAGCAGACTGGTGACAGGGTCTTTCCAGTTTACAGACAAAATGTCCACAGTGTCACTCATGAATTTCACTAACACTCTCAGGAGTTGGCTGGTCAGGTTCAGAGAGGCCCAGTGATTTGCCAAAACTCACACAGCAAGTATAAGGCTCAAGCTTGCCAGAGTCAGACATCAAGTTAGCAAACTTCTTCTATAAAGGGCAAGACTATAAACAATGTAGGCTTGGGACCAGCATATGGCATAATGGTTACATAGCTGGACTCCCACATAGTTGACTGCAGTTCGAGTCCTGGATCCAGCTGCTTAAAACTCACGGGTGCATGTGCATTTGTGTGCATGCGTGTGTGTGCATGCCCAAGATACTGAGAGGGAAATGGAGGAGAAGGGATTGCGGCATGGCCATCCCCCTAGGGAATAAATTCTCACTTTCTGTCTCTCTCCAGTGAGTGTGCGCACCCTACAGCAAAAATCTCTCTCTTAAAAAAACGAATTAAATAATGTAGGCTTTGTGAGTCACACAGTCTCTGCCACCACCACTCAACTCTGTCACTGCACTGTGAAAACAGTCATAAACTGCATGTGCACAAATGAGTGGGCTATGTTCCAATAAAACTTTATCTAAAAAGCAGACAACCGATTCTTGAGCTGTGATTTTGCTACCCC